AAACTCCTCCTCATCAGTCTCTCTCACTCAGAGAGCTACTCTGCATGTTTTCAGAGGCTGTTTGAGGCTATCTGCTTGTTTCTTCACTGCCCCAAGAATATTTTGCATGCAGTGGGGTTCTTCTAGTCTTCTACTTTCATGGCCCTCCAGTGGTACCATGAGTTCTCCTTGGATACTTTTAACATCTCTGCTTCTTTCTTGGTCTCTGTGAGGCTGCTCTCTGACGCTAATCTTTGTTATCCTTCACATCTGCAGGCTTTATGCTATTTTCTTACCTTCGCTGAGACTACTCTCTCTTCCCTGAGGTTCTTTCAGGCTCTCTTCTTGTCTCTCAGGTTCTGGAAGGCTTCTCTGTTCTCTGGGACTCTCCCAACCTCTCCACTTCCCTAGCCTCTCCAAAGCTGCTATGGCCGCCTTTCAGGGTTTCAGTCTGTTCCTCCCTCTCACTGAGGTGGCTTTTGAGCAATTCCAGTATTTCTGCTGTTCTCCCCAACCCACCCAGTTAAACTGGGTTTTCTGGTGCTATTTCAGTCTCTCTCTTCAAGGTTCACAGCATCTCAGTGGGTACTTTTCTTTCTCCTGTGACTTTTTTAGCCTCCCTGCTTGTTTCTTCCCTTCTCCAAGGCTATTCTCTGTTGCTTTTCTAGCCTCTTTCTTAGCAGCTGCAGGCATACTCTCCTAGTGCTCTTTCAGAATCTCTGCTACTTTCTTGTTATTGTCAAGGTCTGCCGTGTGTTCACCATGGTTCTTTCAGGCTTTCTACTAGTTTCTTAGCCTCTTTGAGGCTACTTGGTGTTCTCTCGAGTCTTTTACAGATTTTGGCTCATTTTCCCTTCTTTGATGATATTCTTTAGGGCACTTTGAAGCTTTCTGCCTTTTTTTTTTTTTTTTTTTTTTGTCTTCTCTCTCAGAGGCCGTCCTTGGTACTACTGGGTAGTGTGGAGGTCCTCTAATATCACTGATAATTTCTTGTTATTGCTGAGCCTGTTTGGTATTCTCTGCCTTGGCCTCTTTGACACTGCTACATTTTGTTTCCTTGGACAGTTACAGGCTTTCTTCCCTTCATTTAGGCTACTTTATGTTCTCTGAATCTCTTTCAGACTCTCTGTTGTTTGCTGGTTTCTGCTTGGCTCCATTGTTTCATCTTGGGATCTTTCAGACCATCTTCTACTTTCCTGGCATTTGGAGGGCTATTCTGTGATCTTTCTCTATTTCATTGTTTAATCAATTTTCATGGTTTCTCTGAGACTTCTCAGTGTCCTCTGGATGTCTTTCAAGCTCTCCAATACTTTGTACCCTCTTCAACTAGTCTATAGTCTCTGGGACACTTGCAAACTGCTTCCTATATTACCAGGCTCTCAAAAGCAATTTGCTGTTCTTCGAGGATCTTTCAGACCTATTACTGTTTATTATTATTGTTTTGAAGGAGGATGAGAGAGGACAGAGGGTTATATTTTCAGAGATGCAACAGCTTCAAGAGCTCTGGACTTAAACTGCAGTGGAGTTGCAATACATCTTTGCAAGTCACCTTTTGGAATTTTTTTTGTCCCCTTCTGTTTTTGGTGGTAGTTGGGGTTAGGAGAGAAATGAGCTCAAAGAGGCACCTTTTAAAAATCTTTTATTTTTACATCATCCTAGTAAAAATCTTTTATGTAAAGGTGGAAGTAGGTATGGCATAGAAGAAACACCGGTGCAAAAATCAGCTGGTGGGAATGGCATGTTCTTTCTTAGTGTCTACTATCTACTGCATCATAGATGGCTAGTCCATAGGCAAACACCTCCAGGTTTCCCTATGCCAGCTACAGGATGAGGCTGCTCAACTGGAAGAAGTTACATCAGAATTATATGTGTGCTATTCTATGCTGTCCCCAAGAACCATCTGCTGGGACAACGCCCTTTTCCTCCTTGCCTTTTCTATGCCTGACCAATACACTGCCCAAGAAAGACCATGTTCGGCTGCCCTCTGCTTGCACCCTTCCTGTGTGTGACTTTGTATTTTGTGCATACAAATGGGGCGGGTGGACACAGGATAGGAGAGTTGGCCTAACCATGACCATAGTCCAGAAACTCAATGCATGCCATATACAAGGCATCTTCTGTCATCTTGGAGACATTTATGCCATTGTTTTCATCATCTCACATGCTACTTAGCTATGGGCACTTATTTTGAGCACCCTTCACCTGGGCTTTCTATAACTAACAGCAGCCTTGGTACCACCAGGAGGGTTCACTGCTATCACTTCAACAGCTTTCAGGTAAAGGTTCTTCAAGTAGTTCTCCTATTATCTCTGCTTAAGTTCTGCTGCAGCTTCCAAGCATGAAGCACAGTGAAACAGCAGGTACTCTACAGTGTGAAGGAACACTCAGAGAAACAGCACTTTCACACTCTTGAACTGTGCTTTCATGAATCAGAGATACAAAGAGGTATGCATTTATACAAATCAATATTTGTGTATATTAAATATACTTTTACTCAGTATCAGCTTTTATTTAAAAACATGCTAAAAACGTATAGTTAAATAATCAGAGTGACATTTGGGGAAAAAGAGACAGCCACCTACCAGCATAAGCAAAAAAAGTGCATACATAAATGAGCCAAAGCTCCCTTTGACCAGTTTCAGAATCTATGCTGCTAGGTTGTGAAATGGAATGAAGCATTCTAGAAAAATAAGTTTAGATGGAAGGCCAAGTAACTGAGTTTGCAACTACAAATTTAATCTCTGAGTTACTCATAAACATTTTTTATTTCCTTATTACTTTCACTAATATAGCTTACCATTTTTTGTACAAAAACTGACTGCAGATTCAAATTTAAGACGCAGCAAATACCACTGTGTGATCCAAAAGGACAGAGATGATCATCCTGCTCAGTCTTGCACCCTGCTCATTTTGAATGCCAGAGAAAGCTAGATAAAGCTAAGCACCTCTGCCCAAAGGGAGAATGCAGTGGAGCTGTCAGATGAAAATTGTCCTGTCTTTTCCTGCAAAAATGGGAACACATCTTAGCAACTTTGGATACAGTCTTATGTGTAGCAGCAAGAACACTGGGCATCAGAGCCCCTTCTTCTTCCAACATGGAACATCCATCTCCAGTGGGCTCAGATGCTACTGGTCCCAATGTTTGTTCGAAACGGAAGTAAAATTGTATTCAGTTTCTGTGCTTTCCCTCTGCTTTTCCCTTGCCTCTTTCAAAGGCAATCCAAGCGAAATAGCTGAACCCAGATGGCATTGTCTGCTTCAGTGGGAAACAAGAGCCCTGTGAAACTTTGGGCATGGTGCTCATATGGGCAACGGCCATGCTCTAAGAATAGTAACCTCCTTCTTCACTGCAACACCTAAATTCATCTCTATCTCCCACACATTCCCACTCCTTCCTGTCACACTGACTTCATAGGAACTCAAAAAAAGTGACACAGAGGCCACACAAAACACTATTGCTTCCAGATGTACAGATGCAGGCAGGATCTACTGGAAAGATAGACAGGGGACTAAAAACTCCCAGATATGAAGTGACTCAACAGCTATTTCAGCCCACAAGGAAAAAACAGTCTGAATGATACAATGAAAATTATATCTTTTAATAAGAGTTTAAAGTATAAATATTCAGACTGGACACAAAGAGAAACTTGTTTATCAGAGAAGTAGTTTGACATGGCATGGCTCTGAAAGGCACAAAATCTCCATGCTCAGCAGTTCCTGAAACTGAGACAAATAACGTCACAGTAAACCCCATCTCACATAGATGACATTTTGAGAGTTTTGAGAGTAACATTGGATGAGGTAATCTCTGAAGGTCACTTCTGACTGCTGCTAGTATAAAAAGCAGTGTTTCTTTCAGAGCTGAGTCGAGCCCTGACTGGAGTTAAATCAGAACATCCTCTACTATCTAAGCTTTTCCTTCTTTCATAAAATAGCAAAAAGCTGGAACAAAGGGTAAATGGGAGCTGCTTGGAATGAAGCAGCATTCAAACTAGAGAAATATATGTTCAAGTTTTCTAACAGGAATGTTGGTAAAAATACGCACTGCAGTGAACTCTGAACTACCCCATTGGATAGACTCAGCAATCTGTCAGCAAGAACCAATTCTAAACTGAAGGTGTGACAACACGTGCTGTCTCTGAATGCTGTTTTGGAAATTGTCTCTTTCCTCCATCATCTGGTCACCTTTAATCAAACCACCTTTTCCAGCTCAGGGAGACAGCTGGCATCTGCCTGAGGAACCCCTTTCAATGAAGTGTGTGGCATCACAATGTTGCCATCAAATTCCCATCCCCTTCCCTCATATCCAGTAGCATGCCATGCCTTGGGCAGACTTTGAAACAGACAACACAACCTGTGAAGTCTGCTGACAACTGGCCAGTAGGTCGGACTGCAATCTCTCTCCTTCATGCCAGGGAGCAATAACTTGCTTACTCAGTACTTTCAGCTTTCAAAGTAGCATGATAACAAAGCAGCCAGACACCACTTTGAGTGAGTAAAGGAATTGGAACTTTGCCTCACAGGAGCAGGAAGCTCACCATCTGGTCCAATGGGAAGGCATTGCATTCTATCTGAGGAAAGAGCCGTTGATTTGAAAGGAAACACTTTTGTTACAGTAAGGGCATCAAGGCCCTGACAAAGGTAGACAATGCCTCCCCATGGATTTGAGAAAAGTTTTGTCTTTATTTGCCTGCACCAACTATCAACTTTGAAAAACATGTCCTCAGGAGATCTCACAGTGGTTGCCAAATTAATGTACAATAAATGTGTAAAATAAAAAACAGTAAGAAGTTATAAGTCAGGCAACTAAATTCTAAGCTATATCCACCAAAATCATCATCATTATCATAATAAAAAAGTATACACCATAAGGTACAAGAAGCTGCAAAGCAGAGCAGCTCCAGTTCCTAGGACTCTCAATTACAGTGGCTTTTCTGAGTCTTCCAATAAATTGGATGTGAGGCTTGAAAACTTAATGGAAGACTTTGAAGAATTCTCTCTTGAAGTTGAGCACACATAATTTTTTGCACATATAGCATGGATTAGTAGAGCAAAACATCTTAAGAAACATTCTTACACTAGATTTATGTTTTTTGTGTAGAAAATCCATTTGTTTGGGGGGGTTCCCCCCTCTTTGGCAAATAAACGGCAAATGTGAAACAGACAAAAATAATTAGTCAAATAACAAGTTGTGATAATAAGTGGACAAATAACAACAAAGTAGATCACTCAATGGGACGGATTCCCTCAGCAGGGCTAGGCTTGATACTCTCTGTGGTCATTCCTTTTGTTCATTTTTATGATGATACAGAAGGGTTGATGTGATAATGTTTCAGAGGCTTTAGGCATCGTATTTTTTGCCAGTCCTGTGAATCTGCTGGAAGAGTGTCATGGAGAAGGCCATGCCAAGAATCTGAAGGAAAACAAACAATAAGGGCTTCAGTACAGGGAAGCTGCCAAAACTGCACTGCTGATTTGCGTTCATGGTCCACCTGTAGTTTTAAAAGTCATTCTACACTAGCCATATTTATCAAGCTTCAACACTCATCAGGAAAATTGGATGTATGTTGTTCAGGCACACAGTGATGTCCAGAGATGTATCTGTCAGAGCACAGATGGAAGCACAAAGCTCTCAGGGCTCTTTGTCATACGTGCAACAGTTTTTCAGAATCAATACATAGAAGTCACTCTTCCTTTTCATCCAACAACTTGTGCTTGTTTAGCCAGATAGCTGTGACCGAGAACATCATATTCAGGTATTCTCCCCCAAAAGTAGAGCAGTGATACAGAAACCCCAAAACTTTAAAAGATTATGATAATTCTGCATATCTTTTTAAAAACATGTTAACTTATTCAGTTCAGAGGCCATGATTTGACTCATTTTGGCAACTTCTAGATCTTGCTTCCAAAATTTAAAAAACCAGTTTAAAAACCCCCACTGTAGCATGTCTTCTTTGTGGGACTGACTACTGACCTGATTCCTGAGTAGATGGCCTTAACTGAACGCATAAAACAAATGTGACATTTTTGAAATAATGATCAAACTCAAAGCACTCGAGCATCACTTTTCACACAGCAGAATCAAGAATGCTGACAGCAAATCAAAGCCATGTTGACAAACATCATACCAGTATTACCTGCATTATGAGGATGCACATCCCAATCGAACCAAGGACATGTTTATTCTCATCAAACCAGGTCATAACCCTCTCATAACATCCCTGAAATGATGAAAGATGAAAATTGAAACCCCAAGGTCCCATTTTCTTTCACATGCATTCCCTCTATTTTTTTCCTTCCCATCCCTTGCAGAGTCTTGACCTGAGCAAAGCAAGTCTTACTGTTTTCCACACTAATTCGGTGGAGTTCCGTCCACAGTCTTGGGAGTTTTCCGTACAACATCGGTCTGGGACAGTGTTTTCTCCCAGCACTGGGTACCAGTCTGTAAAGTCATTCACACCACAGCATTTCATCTATGGAAAAAGGAACGGATTAATAAATTAACTTAGCTAGCACAATCTGTGAATCATGCACCACCATGAACTTTTACTTCTGCTAAACCACTGTATATTTTCAAAAGGGCTGCAACAACAATTTTGTATTTTTAACCTGCTTTGTGCTCAGTGATCACTAAAAGCAAATACTTAACAGCATTTAAAAAAAACCCCAAAGAAAATAAATGGTCCCATGCCCAAGGTATGTTAGTCTTCTCGTCAGAGACATGAGCCCAAACACCGCAATCTGCCCACAACTGCTAAATGGCAAAAGCCTAGCTGCCAAGCTGCAGTTCTACCTGTGCAGGTTTTTCTGCTTCTTCTCTGTTTCAGATTATCTCTGTGCCTGTGATAGGCACAAGGAGTCTCAGAGAGAAGTAAGCTTCTTTCACCTTACAGAGTACACTTTGAACCCAAATTTCACAGTACTGCCTGGATGTTCAAGAGTGCAAAATCAGAAACCAAAGCCTGCATTAGCCGTTGTTTAGACTTGGCATGGATGCCACAGTTAACAGACTGCAGCAGTCTTTATGGCCAAATTGATTGAGAAAATACATTACCTCTGCTTGAATGATATTCCATGCATTTTTCAGTCCAACATTGTTTTCTGAATTGTATAGCTTCATACCTTCCTTCAAATCCTTCTTTGCACTCTCACTGACCTGCACCATGTAACAAATACCAAAAGTCAATACACTGCTGTTTAAGGGAAAGGGCCAAATGGTACAAACTGAATGGATCTCTCTTACCTTCTCTCACCACAAACTTAACATGGGTAGAAAAGCTCCATCATAGCTTCAAGACTCTCACAAGTCAGTGAGACCTTTCAGCACCTGCCGAGACCTACTCTCTCCCTCCAATTGCAAAATACTGGATTAATTCTCATGAGACAGGATACCAAACAGCTTCCCCTATACTAAGAGTCCATCATACAGTCGTGATCCGATTCAAACTAACTGAAGACTGATCAGCAGAAATCTGCTGAGCTTACTTTAACTTTGCCAGAGACAGCTATTGGCAATACCCCACAGCAACCTCTCCTGCCTGTAAACTATGGTGTACTTTAATTTGCTAATATCATAAAACCAGAGTCCCAGCCTCCCAATCTTAACATAGTTATCCTGTACACAGGGTCAGGCAGGCTACAATAAATGGCCAATCCAAAATAAATTGAAAACCAGCATTATTATTGTTCTCCTTGGGGACAGGATTTATGATTTTCAAATGTGCTCTTCTTCCTTTAAAGGAGAAAGTTGGAATGCTTAATGAGAGATCTGAGATGTCCCATTTCTTGCATAAATTGCAGACCGAGCCTGGTGTCTTGCATGAAGGTAGGAACATACCTTGGCTCTGACAGCCATGAGCTGGCAGCAGAGAAAGGATTAACCTATGGGTCTTGGCCTAAAGGACAACTATATTATATGTTTCATCCCTCTTTGACATCCCATTCAAAATCAGAAGTTCACCCCAGGTCCCTGAAAGTGCAGGCATCATAGTGACAACCTGGGAGGAGATACAAATTTGGCAGGACTTAAGTTTTAAAATCAGTCTGGACACACTCATACTGTAAGGCTCTGTACTGTGTTTAGCAGAGTTCTCCAGCTCCCCAAAGATTTTTTCAGTCTTCCCTATCTAGCACGCTAGCCAGTTGTGCCTACTTCACTTAGTCTCTACTAGATAGTAGATTCCTACAGATGGGCTTTATGAGAAGCTGCCTCTTGATCTACTCCGCACCCTTGTGAAACTTTCTGGGACTGCCCAATCAAGTGAGTCAGCTGGTGGCATCTGGAATAACCTGTGAATAAACCAGGCCTGTCTCCTCCAGTCCTGTTCAAGGGTTGCGCCCTAAGAAGCTGACCAGGTCCTAAGTAGGACCTCCCACAATCCAGGTCCAGAAGATGATTGGCTTCTTGCAGACACATCAAACAGCTATGCTGAGGGCTACCTTAGCTTTTAGGAGAAGACTAAAAGGGATGCCCTGGACCATGGTTTTATGTCAGGGAGGAAACTGTAAAGCTCAGCGGGTTCTTCTCTCCTGTTTGCCCTCCTCATCACTTCCTCCTCCCCCTGCAGAAGCAGTTTACAGAAAACAGACAAGATCTCAAGGTTAAACCTTCACCAAAGTGAAGAGCAAGGAGAACCCACATACCACCATTGAACAAAAGCAAACTGAACCTGGTTTAAAAGCTAGTACAGATAATTAAGGTATATGGCATATTTGCTTACCTTGTCCATATAAACAAAGAACAAAATGAGTAATATCAGCTCTGCCAGGAGAATTATCAGCAAAACGATGAAAAACTAGAACAAACAAAAAACAGACAGTGTATACACACTTGCCAACTAGAGAGCAAACCTGGGGCTGCTAGAAACTCTGAAGACTATAGGTCTTGTCCTCTAAACCTTTCCTCTACTGCCAAAAACATGCAAGTTTGATTTCAAACTATTCAGGCTCTTGATACTATATTGCCATTAAAGCTCCAGTAGGTCTCACCATCATGAGGAGGCTAACTGTCTAGCTTTCTCTAAATCTTAGGTTTTGCCCTACTATCAGCTTGCAGGTTTCAGCAATGCTTTTGTCTTGCCTTTTTTTTTTTTTTTTTTTTTTTTTTTTGATTGCTGTCACAGCACACAGCCCTGGTAGTCTCTTTCCTTCAAACAGACTACAGAACAGATGCTAAAGTCATTACCACGAAGATCAATGGCGATGTGCCTCAGCCGTGATTCCCTAGCAGATGGGCTTTAACCACATCATCATTTCTATTTCCGACTCTCTGTAGCTGAAACCTGTCTCTCTGCAGGTGCATCCTAAGTATGAGCTCCAGTAGTTTCTCACTGCTTTTCATGCTCACTAGTTGCCTTTACGTACTAGTGGACTGCCACATAGGCATGGCATCCCCCACACAGACACTGGGGGGAGACGTAGTATGCAGTGAAGCAAGCTCTCCAATTGGAAACTCATGATAGTCATGATAGTATAAAAAGACTTTTGCAGAACCTTGTAAGAATATAAACACTTTTAAAAAATAAAATAAAATTCATCTGGTGTTGCAGTTTGTGTGGATGAATGACATAGACCTTATAACTATGCTCTGTTTGCTTTCCTAGCTGTACAACATAAAAACCCAAGCAGCAGACAGAAAAAAACAGGTGCACATTTGTCCTCCAGTTTAATTCTCTCAGGTGGTCTAAGGAATGCTGCCCGGCTGTTCCACAACACCATGTAAAGGAGACTTTTACACAAGGAAAACACACGTGCTCCTTAATGTCACAACACCTGTGACTGAAAAGCTGTGACAGAATTGAAAGCTTTCTACTTTGAAAGCCCTCCTCTCACCTTCTGCCACAATACCTCTCTCCTTGGGGTGGGGAGAAGAACGATAAAGCCTCCTGGGTTTATGCAAGAGGAGTGACCCACATTGTGTTTTCTGAGAGGGGTTCTCAACCTCTGTGCTTCAGCGCTGGACAAAGGCTGACAAGGATCAGATCATTACTTTTTTTTTTTTTTTTTGGTAAGGCCTGGCAGAGACCCTGACTTATTAACTTAAGGTCAGACGGTTTCCACCAACCTCTGACAAAGGCCTTAGATAAGGGCAAAGCATAAAATAGCCATGAGAGGCTTTGAGTGGCATCCAAAAGCAGCTGTGCTTAAGATTTTTCAGTCAATACTTCTAACAGACATTTCCAGAAGGGCTATCCAGGTTGACCCTACAGTTCATGTTTAACCATTCAGAGGTAACAGATATTAATTTGCTTTGCTATCTAATACTTTAGAGCACACAGTAACAAGGATACATTTGCTAACACACCAATGATATCACTGTGACCAAAGGTGTGGGATGTCATACTGGAAGCATACAGAACATTGAAAGCCAAAGGCAATGTTACAGTCACCCACAAGACTATTTTGCGCTGGTCATTTATATAAAATAATAACAAAGCAACAGTCACTAGTCTTAGTGAAAAGAAGTATAAATGTCTTACACTCAACAGGAGGCACTTGTTTTCCTTGATAGCACCTAGGCAGCCCAGAAAGCCGGTCACCATGATGACTGTGCCAATGGTAATGACTAGGTTGGCAGCTGAAAGCGACGGAAAGCTAGGAGAAAACGTGGCGAAGTTTCCTTGCGACACTGACAGCCAGATGCCCACACCCAGCAGCCCACAGCCACATAACTGCAAAGAGATAAACAAAAGAAAGGTTTCACCATTACAATAAACAGCACTGGCTCCTTCCCCGCCACTCTGAAAGGAAAGAATTTCTCAAGCAAATTCTCGGGTAACTGTGCTGCAGTAATGCTCTCACTGGTTTGGTGCTGAAACAAAGTGAAACTAAATGGTCTTGGTGGTGTCACCTACACTTACAAATCTATTCAAAAGCCACTGGATGGCAGAATTCTATTTTTAAAGTCACAGCACATGAAGCCAGGGCTACCCATTGATCTCCCAACAGGACAACCCAATGCAATTTTTTGGTAGGAAGATTAAAAACATTATTTGAAAGAATGCTCCACTGCACTTATTTCTGCAGTCATCTACAATGTCGCAGAGTATCCAGCCTCGTATTTCCACACCCTAGGGCAGGCAAGGAAGTCCTGGGGATAATTACAATCAATACTACAATTTCAATAAATATTTGTTATAAAATGCCCAGTTCCAGTAGCCAAGGTTTTAGTATGAGATCTCATAGCTTTACTGTTCTTTGCCAGTATTCAATGTTGCAAAAATCAGATTTATAGGTTTATTATCTACAGGAAGCTCAACTTCTGCTACTTTCTGTCAGTGAGAGAACCTGAAGGAAGTGCAAAGCTGCTAATAAAACACAAAAGTAACTTCACTTTGCTTCTCATTCTTAAAAATATCATGTCTAGTTAAGGAAATAAGATTTCCCAGCCTAAGCCACGGGGCAGGTCTTCAAAACAATGGCCAAGTGTTGCACTATAGGGGGCCTAAAAACTGGCCATCTTTTAGTACTTGTTCAAAATGCCTGTTATAATTTCCCATCTTATCTGTGATCACTGTGCAGTAAAACCAGAAGTAGGAGTTAGTTGTGCTTCCATTAAATCTGTGAGCTACTAAACAGTGCCATTATAGTTTCCTGCCAAATCTAGCCTTTGCCAAGGTCAGTGGTGACATTCACATGACCTTCACTGGGAGGGTGATCAGTGTACCCCCCTTCCAACTCAGAGTATTTTGCTACAATTTACTTGAACCACTGCACAGGAAAAACAAAAGAGCACCTAATCATTACTGACTATGATATCCCACACTGCTGGTGTTCGTCTGTCAGCAAGAAGAAACAAGAGGAACAAAAGTTCTTGCAGTCTAGCAGGTTCGCCACACCCAGCCCACCGCATTGTGGTTGCATAAACTTACAACTTTTACTCAAATTGGAAACTCAAGGTCAGAGGAGAGCACCTCCACCAAAATCAGGTTCAATCCTGCCTTGTGATGAGCACTCATCTAGCATGATGAAGAGCTACAGACCTAACTTTCTGGGCAAATATCCCCATTTTTGTCTGAGGTAATTCTTATTAGCAGGGATGATAGTTCAGGGTACTACTGGCTCCTTTTGGTTTGGCCGCTTCACAGAACATGAAAGAAAAACCAGAAGAGTATCTTCTTGCATTCATGTCACCTTATCTATGAGTCAGGCTTATGTTTTCATAATCATATGCATGGCTATTTTCTTTTACTTCCCCTGTGACCCTTCTGTCCCGTCTGAGCCCCCTTCCTAGATTGATTGAAGCTTTTGAAACAGCTTTGCACTAGGGAGTTTGGCGAATAATTGTAAGCAGGCGTAGTCTTATGCAAGATGCTCACAGGCATTCCCATGGGAGGCAGGGTAAAGCATCTCCCAATATACCAAGTCCACAAGACGTAAAGCATAAAAATGTAGGGTTGTGTAAGCAGAGCAAGAGAATAAGAGATGGAGATACTATACTGGTTATTTGCAGGCTCCCTTGCACCTAAGCATTAGCTTAACGATCTGTGAAAAAAACACATGGGACCAGATGAGATGCAGGTCCTGAGGGAACTGGCGGATGAAGTTGCTAAGCCACTATCCATCATATTTCAGAAGTCGTGGCAGTCTGGTGAAGTTCCTGGTGACTGGAAAAGGGGAAACAGAACCCCTGTTTTTAAAAAGGGAAATAAGGAAGACCCAGGGAACTACAGGCTGGTCAGTCTCACCTCTGTGCCTGGCAAGATCATGGAGCAGATCCTCCTGCAAACTATGCTAAGGCACATGGAAAACAAGGAGGTGATTGGTGACAGCCAACATGGCTTCACCAAGGGGAAATCATGCTTGACAAATTTGGTTGCCTTCTACAACAGGGTCACAGTGTTGGTGGATAAGGGAAGAGCAACTGACATCATCTGTCTGGACTTGTGCAAAGCCTTTGATGCTGTCCCACATGACATCCTTGTCTCTAAACTGGAGAGGCATGGATTTGATGGATGGACCACTCATTGGATAAGGAACTGGCTGGATGGTCACACTCAAAAGAGTTGTGGTCAGTAGCTCAGTGTCCAAGTGGAGACTGGTGACAAGTGGCGTTCTGCAGGGGTCAGTACTTGGCCCAGTGTTGTTTTAACAATCTTTGTGGGAGACATAGACAGTGGAATTGAGTGTACCCTCAGCAAGTTTGCCAGCAACACCAAGTTGTGTTGTGCTGTCGACACACTGGACAGAAGGGATACCATCCAGAAGGACTTGGGGATACTGGTAGATGAGAAGCTCAACATAAGCCAGCAATGTGCGCTTACAGCCCATAAAGCTAACCATGTCCTGGGCTGCATCAAAAGAAGGGCGACCAGCAGGTTAAAAGAGGTGATTTTCCCCCTCTGCTTTTGTGAGACCCCACCTGGAGTATTCTGTCCAGCTGTGGAGTCCTCAGCACAGGAAGGACATGGACCAGTTAGACCGTGTCCGGAGGAGGACCACAAAGCTGGTGAGAGGGCTGGAGCACCTCCCATATGAGAACAGGCTGAGAGAGTTGGGCTTGTTTAGCCTGGAGAAGAGAAGGCTCCAGGGAGACCTTATTGTGGCCTTTCAGTACCTAAAGGGGGCTACAGGAAAGACGGAGAGGCTCTATTTATCAGGGAGTGTAGTAATAGGTCAGTGGGTAACAGTTTTAAGCTGAAAGAGGGTAGATTTAGATTAGATATTAGGAAGATATTTTTCACTGTGAGGGTGGTGGGGCACTGGAACAGGTTGCCCAGAGAAGCTGTGGATGCCCCATCCCTGGAGGGGTTCAAGGCCAGGCTGGATGAGGCTTTGAGCAACCTGGGCTAGTGGAAGGTGTCCCTGCCCATGGCAGGGGGGTTGTAAATCGATGGTCTTTAAGGTCCCTTCCAACCCTAACCATTCTATGATTCTATTAAGCTCAGATATCACAGTCCTAGCTCAAGTGTTTTGAATGAATCAGCCCAATTCTTTTTGAAAGAAGTGTTTTGGAATCATCAGGCCAAATGCAATAGATCATTGCAGATAAACAAGACAGTGGTAAGAGCAAGATAGGGCAAAAGGCTTACAGAGAAAGAGCAAGTAGAGGACAAAATGGGGCATATGTGAAAGGATCAGCCCATGAAGAGTTGCATCTCGGTATCCAACTCCATTTATGAGGATAGTAGCAGAAAAAGTAGAAGAAAGAAGCCCTTACCAGCATCTCTCTACCATTTGAGAAAAATCAATACTATCCTTGACAGAAATTGGGTCTAGAGAAGAAAGGGGGCTAGGAAATGACTACAAAAGCCTCATATTTATGTTTATTTAAACAAAGTTAGAAGCAGCTAACTGCTTAGATAAGGGAAGGGAGAGCTACTTTCAAGTGCAGGAAATCAGGAAAGTGACAGGCCCACTAGTACTCTATGGGATAGACATGAATACAGAAACGGACCAAGAGCAGAGGGAGAGTCAAAGCTCGAGAGCAGAAAAATGGACACATGGCCTCTGTTCCTCTGACAGCTTTTCAGTTCAGAGGACCCTCTATACACACTTCATAGAGGAGAAATAATTTCTTCACCTGCTTGTGATAGCCACCCTGGTATTTTGGTAAACTCAGGAGCAAAACACTTTGCTTTTTGGCAGAAGACCAGTCACCTACTGCATCTTAAGCTTTCCACAATGCCTCTAGCAGGGAAGAAGCATTTGACACTTGATGTGAAACATTTGCAACAAAGGTCTTGTGGACACCTGTGCTGTCCCTACGCAGACCACTATGGAAACACAACTTGAATGGCAGGCATCTGAACATGTTGGGAGAAGAGTCTTTTACAATGCAAAATGAAGTGTTACATCAGCTGAGGCAGCAGATGTGCCCACATTTGCTCTTTCTTCCTGCAATTCTGATGTCCTGCTGACAACCATGGAATAACTCCTTTCCAACTGCTGCAGTGATAGGGTTAACATGCCAAATGGTGTGCTGAAACACACCAAATGCACTCTGGTTCATTGAAGGGGAAGCATTGCCAAGAGCAATGCAAGCTTCCCGTTTATTACCAAGGATTACATAACCTGGTTTGCTTTTACATTCTACTGACCTTCACGTTTTGTCTGTTTTCCACTACATGGTGTTTTGAACCTGCTGCTTCTCACGCTCACCATAGGGCTTTCTGCACTGTTGCCTCACTTGTTCACAATCATTCTCTAACCTGAAGGTCAGTTTACATTTTTGCTAACCACCAGTTCTTTATTCCCACACACATTAGTTCCCTTCAGAGCTTTCTGACAGCACATATTAGTGCAGTACTACAATATCTACACTGACTGTGCTCTTACCATGCCCACTGGGCAAGCTAAGGAAAGTTCTCCATTTCCCAGAACTCCATTACCTTGCAAAGTGGGATTGCTCAATTCCTAAATTACACTGAAAGTTCAGATTACATAAAACAGTCGGGTGATGGAGAGCCTATTAAAGACCAAGGCTGATCTCTGCAAACAGGATTATCTTCAGTGACTGAAGAGAGTAAACAGTCAGGAAGGCTTGCAAGGGATTTGATAAAACACATGCTATCCCCAAAACGTCCACAAGGTGCCAACCCATACCAAATAGCACTAACAGTCTAGGTCAGATTTTATTTTTCTCCTCTGCAGAGCTCCTCAGTTTCTGTGCATTCTTCTCTGTTTTTACCTCTGTCATTCTACTGAGTAGAAGTACTGTTGATGTTAAAATTTATGCTTTAAACCTTAGGTCCAGGCGAAATACTTTTTTCACTGATTA